GATAGTTGAAGTATCGAGTCGTTACAGATATTAAAAAGTAACGAACATTTATATACAGTTTCATATATCGCCGACTGATTTTAGTTTTAAAAACTGTCCGTATAGAGGTGTCCGATGAAGAAAGGTGCCGTTAAGAGAGAGTTTAGTGTAGTGTATTTGTTTATTGAAGCCAAAAACGCCGAGACGTGTTTTAGATGTAGACAACTTTGTATTTAATGTACTTTCCTATGGTGAAGTTCTGTGAATCTGATGGTTGATGATAGTTTTAGGAGATTAGGAGAATAAGAGAATAAGTAAGTTTTTTTTGTTTTCTTAATGCTAATTGAATATTCGACTAAATAAATTACACTATTCAACCACCTAAGTATTGTTTCACTTCGTTTAAATCACTTAATTCAAAAACCAACTTGTTTACAATACTAAAATTAATGATAGTAATTATATACTTTAAAATCTGAATTATAACTATTCTATAAACTATCAATTCTATATTTATCTCATGACTTCATATTTAAATTTTAAGTCATAACAGTATTTTAAAAATAGGAAGAATTTACTATTGTTCAATTCAGCACATTGGACCATTCAAATAGAGACCTTAAACCGAATTTAAAACAGTCGTATATTCGTGGAATGGAGTATACCATTTTATGTTTATAACATTTTATTCTTGTCGGATAGGCCACAATTGACGAAATAAGTCCAAAACGTTAATCACATAAAAACTTTTATCAACCATCAACTTCGAGTTTTTATCAAAGTTAATTAATTTCTTCCTTAAAAAAAAAACGTTTCTTGGCTTATTTCAGATGTCCTTAAAGATACTCTAGGGAGCGAAAGTACTTGGGCAAGATTAAATTAATTAAACTGTGCTCGATATTTGCCTTTTACTTGATCAAAGTTCATTTATTCGGGCATTCAACCGTATATCACTTGTTTTCTGTACAAAAAGTAAAAACGAAGTGGTGTCGTTATGGGGTATATAAGAGTTATAAACGCTATCGACAGGTAAGTACATTATTCCTGATTGCATATTTGTCGATTAACATCATTAATGGGTAAAGGGTGGATACTTCTCTGCGATCCTGGCAGGGACAGATCTACTTCAGGAATAGCACACCTGCCCAAGCGAACTCATGGATTTCCCCAGCCTCCTATCCCCGGCGAAACTATGTCCAAACCCAAAGTATTCTCATCTCCACCCTTTCTTCCCCCCACTTCCAAACCAACTCGCCAACACACACTAGCCATGCGTGGCCTTTTAATGGCTCAAAACCCCAAAAAAGGTATTTTCCATGAAAGACGAAACTACTGAACGGCTCTCAGTCTCCGGCGGCTCCAACCCCCCCAACCAAGGTAGTGGTTGGAACAGGTTTGGAGCATAGGGTGCTAAGAATCCCCGGAAAAAATCAGGCTACTACAAAGAGCGAAAAATGCATATTACTTCATACAATGTTGGAACTCTTTATATCAGATCAGAAGATGATGGAACTGGAGGAAAAACTGAAAAACATAAAATGGGACATCATCGGCGTCAGTGATCAAGAGGGGAAGCCCAAATTACTTTTAAATCAGGACACGTGTTTCATTTTAGAGGTGAAGAAGATACTTCAAATGGTGGAGTACGATTTATTATACATAGAAAGCACACACACAATATAGTTGAAATTAGCAGCATAAGCCCCAGGATTGTATATCTCATCTTAAAACTAAATGCAAGATATATCCTTAAGGTAATCCAGACATATGCTCCAACGACTATCCACTAGAATGAAGAAATTGAAAAAAATTATAAGGATCTAGAAACAGCGTTATATGCCACATCAGCATATTACACAATAATTATGGGCGACTTTAATGTGAAAATAGGTTTTAAACAAGATGATGCCGAAGTAGCAATGGGTAAGTGTGGCTATGGCAAAAGAAATGTACGAGCGCAAAGATTGCTGAACTTCTTACACCAGGAAAGTTTATTCATGATGAACTATTTTTTCGATAAAAAGCCTCAGCGTAAATAGACATGGATCAGTCCAGACGGCAGTGTCAAAAATGAAATGGATTATATCATAACAAACAGAAAAGAAATAGTCAAAGACATCGAAGTACTTAACAAATTTTCAATAGGAAGCGACCACAGATTAATCGGAGCTAAGATACTATTAAATGTCAAATTGGAAAAAACAAAGATGATCCTAAAAACAAGAAAAAAGAAATGAATCCCAGAGAAAACAATGACCTGTATGAAGATACAGTAACCAGACATATCTTCTTCTTTGTCAACCATTTTCCATCCACTCCTGAATGTAGGTCTCTCCCAATTGCTTCCATCTTTCTCTATCTTGCGCCAATCTAATCCACTGTTTGCCTGCCACTGCTCTTATGTTATCAACCAGACACATACAAGACTTGAAAGACGAAATAGAAGATGTAGAGATCAAGCAAATGATGGCATAATGAAGGCTCTAAAAGATATGGAAAGGGAGTGATGCCCGGCCGTTCTGACCCATAAAGAAAAACTTAGTCAAAATAGACAGCTGACGTAAAAATACGGGTCGAACTACACAACAATGAAGAAATTAAATAAAGATATGCACCGGTCAATCCGAAAAGACTTAAGAGAAAACAATACAAGAGAAATAACTAAGATAATTATATAATAGAATTCATTATACCCTAACTGCATGATTATTTTATTTTTTATACAAAAAAAAATCACATCAATATTTAAATTGGTTGGTTTTTTGTATTTTTTAATTTTTTTTGTGTGTCATATACAGCACACTATGCATTAAAACAAGATTTAACAAGTAAAATTAATAAAAAAAAAATGATGTTTATTACTTTCTAATTATAATAATTATTCAGTGTGATCTTTTGTTTAAGCAAAGAAAAACTACACTTCTCACATTTTATGAAGCTTTTTGAACCACAGGAATATTTGCAATTTGCCTTTCACTACACCATATCCAATCGAAGATAACCATATCCATCTGTTTGTACATCTTGCATTGGAATATCAGTTGCTGGACCCCTTCTTTTCTTATTTTGTAAATTTTTCATATCTCCACATGGACGACGCAGTAAAACCAGCTTTAATAACTTTGCATAAACAGCACAAACTTGCTACTGCCATTTTGAAATCTACCGGAGCTAACCTTTTGTTATCTTCCATTGGATATGGTGTAGTGAAAGGCAAATTGCAAATATTTCTGTGGTTCAAAAAGCTTCATAAAATGTGAGAAGTGTAGTTTTTCTTTGCTTAAACAAAAGATCACACTGAATAATTATTATAATTAGAAAGTAATAAACATCATTTTTTTTTATTAATTTTACTTGTTAAATCTTGTTTTAATGCATAGTGTGCTATAATATGACACACAAAAAAATAAAAAATTACAAAAAACCAACCAATTTAAATATTGATGTGATTTTTTTTTGTATAAAAAATAAAATAATCATGCAGTTAGGGGTTAATGAATTCTATTGTATGATTTCTCAAGATAAAGAAATGTTTGGTGGATTCAACCATAACTTGATGAAAATTCATATTATGTAACAATAAAACACTGAAAACTTTGTTTTAAAACTTAAACAAAATTTCTTTTTCGAACAAATAACAACCTAGACAAATATATCAAAAACAACAAGAGCCAAAATAAAAAACACACAATGGTGTGCACAAACTTAAATGTGTCGACTGTCCAAAAACTTACATCGGCCAAACTCGTAGAAACTTTAATAAACGAATAGCAGAACATAAAAAGGCTTTCAATAATAGAAAAACAGATTCTATATACTCACTTCACCTTCCAGATCACAATCATTATGTTAATGACGAATTTAAAATTCTTCACATTCAAAATAAAGGCCTTAAGCTATCCTTGTTAGAATTTATGGAAATCAACAAATTAAAAAACAGATATAATTCTGAATGACCAACTTGAGACAAACAGTTCTCCCCTCCTCAACCTATTCCATTAGAGACTATAAAATGTAAACACATGCCAAAAATAGATCCCTTGAGAAAGGCAATCAGCTGAAACAGCTGTAGTGGTAAGTTAAAATAAATTTTGTGGAAGTTTGAAAACAAAGTTTTCAGTGTTTTATTGTTACATAAATAAATGTCATTAGCTTTTTAGTTTCTTTGTCTCACATACATTCAAATTCATTTTCTGCTATTTAATTTCTTCCTGCATCTGCCTATAAATTATTCTCTCCCATAGTTTCATAGTGAGAATAATATCTGAATACCTTTTCAATCAACATTATGTTCAGCATGATTTAGCCAACTTACTACTAATGCAACCAAAATGCTTATAACCCACACCCACTTAAATTTTTTGATACAGGATCCATACTATAAAAAGTGCACTGTCATCCAGTGTATTGTGACTCTATCCCACCACTAGGAGGTACAAAATGGGATAACTTTAGATATGTAGAAGTGAAAATTATACAACAGATAAATAAAGGAGACAGAATAGCACAGGTTTTAAATATACAATCTGGTGCAATAAACATCACAAAAAAAATACACAAGTGTCAAAATTGCAAGGAAGCAGTGTGGTAGGTTATGAACAATACTGAATACACAAAACCAATATTCAACAATACAAAAGAAGATTGTTGCAAATGTTTAAATTGAAACTAGTCAGAGTCAGAGATATCACAGAAAAACACTAAGGAACAAAAAATGTAATAGAGTGTCTTGCATAAACATGTAACATAAACAATTGGATATTAGACACAAGAAGTGAGTGGCACAGCTGCATAATTATGTGGAATGGGAGGTAACACCACAAATCGTAGTGGTCTGTGAGTAACACATTAGTAACAATAGTTTGAGATCACCCAAACTTCAGAAAAAATATAGGAAGGCCAAGACAAAATGGAGTATCTGTACTATTTTGAGCACTTTTAAAATTCAAAGGTTTCATGAAACACTACTTCGTAAAATAATTATCCATGCAATAAACTAAAAATTAATATACCTCAAAATGCTGTGTAAATTAAAACATTTATTATTTTTTAAAATACATATTACAATTGATTTATTAAAAAATATTTGAGTCAAAAGTAAATTTAATAAACAAAAAATACTTAATTTTTTTATTGAAAACACAAATCTAGAGTTAGTCATTACATTCTTAGACTGCCGACTTAGTACTTACACTGGGATTTTATTATTATCACAATCCTGGTTTTAATCCAGATAAAAGTGTTAAAAAAGCACATCCGAATATTCTGTGGTACAATGATAGGAGATTATTTTAGCTCTCATATTTTAGCATAATTTTTAAAAAAAATATTGGTATAAATAAAAGCTTCAAATTCTGAAAAAACCTATTATACCATAGGGCTAATTATGCAAAGAATTAAATTTTTACATCTACTAATAAACTTCTCCCTTTTTAAGAACACCTCATTTAGATCAATTTTTTGAATTATAATGCCTTTGTGTAGATTAGATTATACACTAATCAAAATAATTACAATTACATGAAGTTCCAGTAACTTTCATTCTTTCCAAACACACTTGAATCAGTTCTGGATCTGTATACTCGTCTTCATAGAAAAACTGAAGACTAGTTCCTTCTTGTTGTTCAGTTTCTGTTTCCAGACTTTTATTTGCAGATTGCTGTTTTAATTTGGTTGTTTTCTGAAGCAAATCAAAGTATGGACCATTATCCAAAATTGTATGTGTTTTTCCTACTTCAGTTTTACCACAATCATCATCAGATGATTCATCATTCTCCAATTCTTTAGGTGTAATTGTCTTTTTAATAGATGTAAGTCCTCCAAGACCTGCCTGCTTTACAGCATCATCTATTTTTTTCAGATATTGGTCAATATATTCTTTATCCGTTTTTAAAGTATTATGAAATGAATAGGCTGGTGCAATTGGAGGTTGGACTGGAGGTCTGTATTGATAAGGCTTCTCTCCTTGCAACTGCAATGGATATGTAGTATCTGAATCAAATGCACTTACATCACCACATACTACAAAAGGAATTATAACCCTATTCACCCCAGTGAGTGAATTAAAATCACGATGAGATATATCTAAATATGGTGTCATAAGTTTTGGATCAAAACCCTCTGGTGGGCTATAATTTCTACAAACAACAAATGATTCTATACTAGAATTTCTGGAACTACTGGGCTTAGCAATATCAACTTCTTTAAATAATGTCAATAATTGATTAGTAAGCAGATCATTATCTTTTCCCCGAAATATTTTTGCAACAAAAGTACCACCTGGTTTTAAAACATTGCAACAAATGTGTAATGCGCCTAATAATAACTGTGCCTGAATGTAAATATCCATACTATGTAATCCTGTTACATCTGGTGCTCCATCACATACAACTAAGTCTGCATGATCACCTTCAAAATGTCCAATAATTTGCTGTGCAGTTGAATATTTGGTGATGTCTCCTTGAATCTGAATAACACCTGGAAGTGGGGACATCGGCTGTAAATCAACCGCCACGATTTTAACATTATCGTTTTTAGAGGATGATTCACTAGGTTCGAGTCCATCTAACTTACTTTGCAATTCTATATCACTATAAAACAGATAGCACGTGTCCCTGATATCAATGGATTCTCCTTGGTATAACTTTCTTGATAAAACTTGGCTCCAACTTCCGGGAGCGGCACATAAATCTACAGCTCTAGTCACACCATCAAAAATATTGTATTTTTCGTCAATCTGAAGGAGTTTAAAAGCACTTCTTGCTCGCCATCCTTGTTCTTTCGCTTTTCGATAATATATATCACGTTTATCTTTTGATACTTTTCCCATGCTGGAATAATGGACCGCAGGAGTGTGACGTCACATTGTCATTATTACTTTCCAAACAAACGTTGAAATGTCAAATCTCAAGACTTTTTAATTCCTATAAAGTTAACATTTTGCTTCCTCTGCTGCTTTTTCTTGTAAGTATAGTGTTTTTATGATAATACCGTCATAATTCAGAGTTCTATTTCTATGAAATATGGTTTAAAAGTTTAATTAAAGAAATTTTAACCTTACTTTATTGATACTTTCATTTTATTCCTATTAGCATAAAAAAATGTGCTTTATTATTTACACAACCTTGTAAAATTGTTGTAGTAACTATTAAAATACTTAAATATTGCAAAAAGCGGAAAGATTCTATAAAATAAATGAAAAAATAACGAAAAATACAAATTATCCACACTAAACAACGTTTGTTTGGAAAGTGAAACTGGCAGATGTCAATCAAATCTACGTCATCACTCCTGTGGTCCATTCTATTTTATTCTATTAAAACAAAAACAAGAGAGCAGGCTTAATTAAATTATAGGTTAGGTTAACATTTGACATAAAATTTTATCTTCTTTTATATAAAAAGCTGGATGTCACTGTCAGTAAAAATGTTTTTGTATAATTCCATAACATCCTAAATATAGGCAATCAACATGACATACACAAAATGTAGGCAACTAAAATAATATCTACGCAAAAACTTTTGTTCCAAGATGGTTCCAAGGAATTACAACATAGATAATCTCATTTAAAAGATTGTCCTGTATTTTCCTGTATTTTGTTTTGAAAATTGATTAGTTATTTATGATTTGAATCATGAATCTTTAATTTCAACTTTCAGATAATGACCTGGGTTTTATTGTTAGGACATTTTGATCCAGTCCATTCATGTCAGGTAAAAGTTAAATTTAATAAACGCTAAATACTTCAAAAACAAATTAACTGATAATAAACTTAATTTTCTTTTCTTTTCCTGGTAAGGTTCCCATATCTTATATTTATTTGCAATTCTCTTTCATTATATGGACATGTCAATCAAATGTTATTCGCTCTCATAATGAAAGTGAAGTTGAATTACTGGATTTTTGGAAACATAGAGGTCATTTACATTTAATTATAGAATGTGTAAACAATTGTGTTTTTTTTTCTTTGTTGGATTATTTCACATGCTACATGGGTATAATATTACAAATCATATTATTTTTTTATATTTGTATGCAGAAAAGTAAACCTTTACCCATAGTTGCGAATAACAACTATTTTATTGTGATAATGTTAATTTATGTTACATTTTTTAAGATCTGAGCTTACTAAAATCAATTCTGGAACCTTTCGAGAATCCAACAATAAAATATAAATATCAATGAATCTTTGACGCATTATCAGTCTAAACTTTTCTGGAATCTTCCTGTCACTCAATAGTAGAAAATGTAATGTATGTATATTCGTACCAATTTCAACCTCTTCAATGGGTTTAAAGACATATTATATTCCCACATATTTTTAAAATCAGACTGATATGATTGTGAACATAATAAATACTACGCAATTTTATCAGGGCCGAATTATAACATGTGCTATTAAATATGATGTGTATGTGTCTGTATATGAATTTGCATTTGTGTGTGAGAGAGGGCTCACGGGCATTACCTTGAACTAGATAAGTAATTTGATAATACCATTTTTAACATGAGAAATTACTATTCGAGACGGGCTAATCACGTGAACAGACATTTCTATTGTAACATGCATATCAAAATACACCGCTCTAATTGATCCGCAAATGCCCCAAATATTTGGTAATATAAATATTTTTACATACTTGATAAATGTATATACTTGTCACCAAGTGCTTCCTTCCATAACAATATTCTCCACTCGTGAAGATCCATTGCGGAATTCTCTGGACACTGTCTGAACATTTTTAAATATTTCTTGCAAATTTTATTTGATTTTTCCAAGGATATAGAATAGTGCTTGATTAGAATTTCCTTTATCTGAAAAAAAAAACAAAATTACTCCTCAGAAGGATAATCCTTTTATTAACAAGATAATCTCTCATTATATTGAACCCATCTACACATTGAATTAAATTTTTAGAAAATATTTCTGATTTAATCCGGCTATTAGTATTATTATTATTTGTGAGTAAAGTTTATGCGCAGATTGCAGATAACGTGGTCGTTTCATTTCGTAGACATTTCTACATTGCGACTTAAGATGATGACCTCCGACATAGCCACGCATGCCGGAAAACGGCTTTTGATATTTGGATGTAGCAGGATAACCTTATCCTTAGCTTTCACTCGGTCATGCTCACACAGAATTAACGACCACCAGTGAACATAAAGAGCACCTCCACTGTGACAAGATCTTTCTACGTCCATCGTAGAGAAAGTAATTACCTACTGTTAGACAGTTATAAATATTCTTAAAATATTTAATATGTATAATAACATATTATCATAGTTAGACGAAAGGCATCGAATTTGAGACCCTATTTTTGAAAAACAAATATAAAACAGAACATTAAAAAGTTTTAAAAACATTTATTTAGAAAACTTAAATTTAATGCTTCTAGAATACAAAAAAAATATATAAAGCTAATTAAACATATTTTATTTTTGCCAAAAAAGTATATTTAATTTGTTTGCGACATTTGATGTTAAAAATAAAAGGTGGCCTAATTTGGGATAGCCGGGTATCCAAATTTTAGACAGGTAACCCAATTTGAGAGACTACTCAAAAAAGCCCTTTCTTTCGCCGAAAAGGCAAATAAATCTGCTGGACTTTATTTCTCCACAGTCTTCATGTACCCAACTGTCACACTGGTAACACTTTGCCCATTGTTCGCCACATCTATCTCGCAAAATTTGCCCGTGTAAAATAGACATTCCGCGTCGTTTTCTCCACTTTTGTCGGACCATGAATCAGCTAATGGAAGGTATTCGCTGCTGTTTGAGCTTGAACTTGAAGAAACTTTTCGTTTTTTTTTCTTGAAGTTTTGCCTTTTGATGTAGAATTTACGTCTTCGTGTACTGGTATTTCTTCTTGGGGTGTTGCTGTTTTTTTATCTAAAATTTTTTGTTAAATTTTTTTTCTGGAGCTAATACACAATCCAAGTTTTTCTGGAGTACCAGTTTTTTTAATTTTTTTGTTCTGCACTTTTCTCTAATTCTCCTTTATAGGGTGTTGGAGTAATAACTGAAGCCTTTCCTGATCTGGATGTGGGTTTTTTAGTGGCGTCTCTCTTGTTTTTAGGGATTGGACAGATGTTTTTCAGAGAAACAATTTGTTTATGAGGTATTGGTGGACTAGGAGTTCGATGTTCTCGCATTGGATGATTTGCTTGTTCATGGTTTGGTTCTATTATTTATTCGTCCATTTCGTTTTGTGTTTCCAAGTGCTCTTGAATTCCAGATTCAAAGTCCCTAAAAATACGGCGACAAATAGGGACCAGTCTGGTCCCTCGACTGCAGCTGTTATGCGCTTTACAAAAAATACTGGCAACGGCATAAGGCCAAGTTCGCCAAGGCATTTTCGCTAAGCCAATTTTCTATTTCTTGTGCATAGTAAGTTTTCAGATGTGCCGTAAAAGCCTCATCCAACGGTTGCATCTTAGATATGAATGTGGTGGGAGGCAAATAATCGTCACATGATTCTGCTTGGCCAAATCTAATAGAGCAACATTTCTCGTATGAGAATAGTGACCATCAAGGACGAGAAGAACAGAGTCTGCAGCTGAAGGTTTAGTGAAGTTTATGAAGTGTTGAAGCCATCTAGTGAAAATATCGGCCTGTACTCACGTGGGCATTCTGCCACTTATTCAGTGGGAGCTCCTACCTACTTCTTCCCTCTCACAGAAATTACATTGCTATGTTTGTGCTGAACAATTGTAAGGCCTGTTTCGTCCACATTAAATATATGTTGTGCAGCGTTAGTCAGCTTAAGATGTTCTGGTTCATACAGATCAAAGAACTTGCATACATTTTCAACAGTGAACGATTTTACTCGAGCAGACGACATTCCCTGAGGAGTACGCATTGAAAGCGTCGGATACCTTTTCAGAAAGAGTCGCAACTATTTCTTTCCAGCTGATTTTTTGATTCCGCTAAATGAATGTGGTATTGAATTTCGTATTACAAGTTGAAAGGCCAGTCGTTTGCACGACTTCTTAGTCCTAAATAATGTAGCTCTATAGTTAGGAGATACTCAACCAACTCATTTTCTAATTCCACAGGAAGAATAGGTCAGCAGCGGTTGACGTCCAAGACTCCAGAAAAATAGTCGGTTCCGACGAGTTCTTCTGGAGTCTTATCTAATTTCACACATCGTTCTAAGGTACCTTTTGGTATTCGAAAAATTTTTGAGGCCTTCAAATAGCCCATTTCTGTATTTTTGACTATATTTACTGCACGCATCATATTATTTGCGTTCCAGTTTTTATTTTTTGGCGGCATGTAAAAACACAAAAATATATAAAAATAAAAATTTTACACGGTGTCCTAATTTAAGATTTCTCAAATTTAAAAGCTACAGGTATCTCATATTAGGATTTTTCCACGATACACAAATACCGGTATGCTATTGCGCACGATAGCTCTATCTCTCTCGCACTGTGTGACGTCACGTGTGAAGCAAAGTTTCTATTAGAACATTAACGCTTGCCCTGTTAGTCGGTCAATATGAAATATATATATATATATATATATATATATATATATATATATATATACATATATATATACATACATATATATATATATATATATGTACATATATATATATATATATATATATATATATATATATATATATATATATATATATATTGTAAAACTACGACCGTCAATTAATATAAATAAATTATTCAACTAGTGAATTCAGAGGTTAATCGGTCATTAAGGTTGGCAAATAAAAAACAGAAGTCAACTACTTCATAAGTTTATAGAAAACGTTTCGCTTTATACTTCTAAAGCTTCATCAGTTCTCTAAAATACAAAGATGACATAGAGTTTATAAGAAATACAGATATAATAAT